GTGGCTGGTCTCAGACGATCTTGGAGGTGAACATGCTGGATGTGGAGGTCCTGGGCTGGTGTGGTTACATGTGGTCTGCGGTTGTGAGGCCGGTTGGATGTACTGCCAAATTGTCTGAAACGCCTTTGGAGACGGCTTATGGTAGAGAAATGAACATTCAGTTCAGCTCTGGTGGACATTCCTGCAGTCAGCATGCCAATTGCACACTCCCTCAAAACTTGCGACATCTGTGGCATTGTGCTGTGTGATAAAACTGAACATTTTAGAGTGGCCTTTTATTGTGGCCAGCCTAAGGCACACCTGTGCAATATTCATGCTGTCTAATCAGCATCTTGATATGCCACACCTGTGAGGTGGGATGGATTATCTCGGCAAAGGAGAAGTACTCACTAACACAGATTTAGACAGATTTGTGAACAATATTTGTGAGAAATGGTCTTTTGTGTATACAGAAAATGTTTTAGATCTTTGAGTTCAGCTCATGAAAAATGGGAGCAAAAACAAAAGTGTTGCGTTTATATATTTTGTTCAGTGTATTAATTTTCATTAAAAAACTGATTCAGAGGAGGACGTGATAAAACACACTTTGAGCTCAGGAACAAGGACAGATAAAAGTAAGTGACAAGCACATGATGGAGGAAAGACAAAAACAGTTACAACAGTACATTTAATCCAAAAACAGAACATTATCAACAAGCACAGTTTATAGAAAATAATAAAAAAACACAGTAACAAAACTCACAATACAACACAACAACACAGTAATTTAAACTCTTCACAGGAATCACACATTGTATGTTTGAATTATAGCCTACGTGTAGCTGAGAATTGAAGTCGACTGACCAACAGGCCTCATTCTTCTCGATATTTCCAGGTTTTTTTTTTACCAGGATTTATAATCACTGTGGTGTCAGGTCTCACCCCAGCGCAGAGGTCTGAGCTGAAGAATTATCCAGTTATCCTTGAATTAGTCCCAGGTTGATTTGACATGTGATTTTAGGATGCATGAAAGGAGCATCATTTATAAGAAAGACTACAAGATTTGGGGGAGGAGTTGCTGCCTCTCTGTTTTATTACATCACAGTACTATAGTAAGTCTTTTAGTCTGAGGAAGGTCTAACTTTAAGTGAAACTCCAGTGAGCTTGGAGTTTATTTTCTGAATTCCCCTCATTGTTTAAACACCACTTACGATTTTTTCCCTAGTGCTGCCATCATAGACCGGATAAAATAATTAGTGTACCCACTGTGACGTCATCATGACGGTTTCAAGATTTTTTGGCTGTCACCATCTTGGATTTTTGGAGTCCGAAATGACCACATTTGGACAAGAGGGTGGAGCTGTGAAACAGCGAGGGGTGGATCTGACTCACAGACTGTGGTGACGCCTCACAGACAGCCTGTCACTGAAAATGACCACGCCCTTAATTATGTGCAACTTTAAGCCTTAAAAAAAGGTAAACGGGTGATTTCAGATTGATGCTGTGTCTAACTCTGTGTAACTCATACATTTTTGTTTTTACACTTAAATTTTTGTTCAGATTAAATGAACCAGATATTATGTGTTAATGAGTGAGCTTTAGGGATCCTGGTGGGCGGATTTTGCTACCTTTGGACAGAGACAGACATGAGAGAGGTAATGATCTTCATAACTGCTTCTTTGAAAAAGAAGCAAAATGTAGAATTTCAACTTAATGAGACTATCTTCTCTTCATCTAGTGTGCCATCTTGAGTGTAAACCAGCTGTCAAATATAGGAATTTTATCAGCCTACTCTGGATAGTTGTATAAATTAGAATAAATAATACATCACCAACTTTTCACTCATCCTACAATCCAAATTTAACACATAAAATTACATGGAGACAAAACATGTAACATGAAGGATAAATACAACAGGGCAGGATAAAATAGACACATACAGACTGTGGAAGGATGCATGTTAGAGAGAATGAGGGCCCCACTAGCAGCAGCACCACCACCAGCTGTAGCACCAGCACCTAGCGCTCCCAAGGCCCCTGCCCTCCCCCTTGGGGTTTATGGGAGGGGGGAGGATATGGACTGACGGACGGACGGACGGACGCAGACACCTCACAACATCCCGTCCGTGGTTCTACCCTGTGGTAGAACAGCATGATGTCACCTACCATAGGGTAAAACCACTGACGTGACACCGGAGACAGAGACAAAATGCAAAACCAAACAGAAAAAAATGAGAACACCGCCAACAGAAAAATAACAACATATACAGAGAGGAAGACCCGGAACAAAGCGGACGCAGGGGGCAGGATGGATACATGTGATGGGTGGATGGAGCGGTGGGGTAAGGGAAGGAGGACAGAAATGTTGCAAGAGGGTAGGAGGTGTTGTGCGATTGCTGGCAACCTGTGAGAACTTCATCGTCACACGCACGCAACTCTCTGACACACCAATCTACCCTCAGAGAACAAAATAAGTTGCATAAAAACAAGTTTTTACAGCGAAGAGAAAGGCAGCAACCTTGAGTCAAAACCCCCATAATGCCCTCTGCCTCCTTATGGTCTTTTAAAAATAGTTTCAATCCTGCCTGAAGCTGCTGTTAGCACCAACATAAAAGCTGATTCCAGTGGAGGAGGAAGCTGGTGCAAAGCTCAAGGAGAGGCACAAAAAGGAAAAACACACCATCACTGTCACCAACATTTAAAAACAAATTATCAAAAAAAATCAGAGGGATAAATAACAAAAAACCCTGTAGCACCACACACAAAATGACAGAACATCAGGAGAAGAAGAAGAGTGTGTTTGTTGTGTTGTTGCTCTCACCTGGCAATGCCTCCGTAGTCCAGCCCCTCCTCTCCTCTCATAATGATGTAGAGTCTGCGGCGTAGGTCGTATGGCTTCACATTCATGATCTGATCACAAAACACATTAATATACTATTAATAAATATATAAATTACTTTTTAACACGCAATATTTGAGATTTATAGAAAACCAGAGCCAAGTACAAAGTGGATCAGACATTTATTTTCACCTTTAATTTCCCAACAGCCAACATGAGCAATGATGTAGTCATTTTTTCATTGTCATGTCAGTGATACTGCACTTAGAACCCATGGGCCAAATCTGGCCCACAGTAGGGTGCCAGGTTGGCCAACCGACTATTCTGTAATTCATAATAAAAATAACTTATTTTCCTGTTTTACTTTGAATGTAAAGACGTTGCCAGAATGCATACAAAGTTTCTTGTTTTGTTATTTTTGTTTATTTATCTAAAAAAAAAAAAAAAAAAAAAAAAAAAGTACAAAAACTTCACCCCCCAAAGCCCCCCCCCCCCACTGATGTCTGACCTAAACCCCGAAAGTCCTCAAATCCTAGCGACACCCCTGCATACACCGTACCTGTGCACGGCTGCTGTGACTGGATTTGCCTTGTTTATTCGTTTTATCTGCTAACTATTATTAATGTTTGTTTATTAACTGGCTCCTGGCCTCTGGTCATTTTCCAAAAGTGGCCCCTGGGCAAAGCAAGTTGAGTATCCTGACTCCATGTTGACCTTAAATGTGTCAGATGCTTACGAGATGTATCCATATTTATTTTTCTAATGTATGTGTGGACCCATCTGAGCCTGGTTTACATAGACTTCAGTCAAAACAGACTGGGAGAATTTAAAATTGCATTCAGGTAAAAAAGAAAAAAAAAGGTCACATATTATTTAATTTTAGTCAATTATACTTTTGTCTAACCACAGACTGTAACATATATATGTGTTATACAATATTGTATGTGTATGGTGATATCTTTTAATCTCATGTCATGATCATCAATAATCAGGACTTCATTCATCATTAACTAAATAAGCTTTTTTTCAGGCTTAAACCTTTATTTGTTTTGTCCTGTGACTGCCTGTACTCTTTTTTTCTGGTAACATTTTTTGGTCATCTGGTGAAATTTTAAATTTTTGGCGAACTAAACCCAAAATGATGTCATTATCTTCAAGTGCAGAACAGATGTGCGTTTGGTTGGTCTCTGACCTGCTGAAATGAATCCTCAAACAGCGTCTGTCTGGACACCGAGATCTTTACGTGGCTGGGCAAGGCATTGGACTGGGCAGAGAGACAAAATGAAAAATAAATCAATCAACTGAAGAGCTAAAAAACAACTGCATTTTGAAAAATAAATTGTTTTAACAGGTTTGAGTCAGTATGACCTTCTGCAAAGCCTTTAAAGACACTGACAGCTGCTGATTACCACAAATCTCTGGACTCTCATCTCTATCTTTAACCCTTATCCAGTGTGATCCTTTAGTAGTACTTGTGTTACAGTGATATATTCAGTGCTGATCCTGGCATGTAGCCAGCAGTATCTGGTCCTTTCAGTTTAGTCAACCACTGGTGATGAATATAATGCAGTTCATTATTACTATGAAAATATTAACCTACTGTATATACAGCCTTAAGCTAAAACAGTCACACACACATCAAGGTGAGATGTGCGGACAGGGAGAGTTTTGTCGTGGCTTCAGCCTCCAGTTAACACTTACATGACACAGGAAACGGAACTGGTGGTACTTCCACCTGAAGCTGCGGTCGTAAGCACCAGGTGAACCGCCCTGCCGTGACCTGCGCACAAACACACACACAAAGAGAGAGAGAAGAGAGGAACTTGATCAATGTGAAACTATTTAATCCACAGAGAATCCTGATTAAATAATTCCAGCGAGACAAAATGAGACGGCCTTGGTGTCAAAAGTTTTCGGCTCTTCAGTGGACGGTTGATCAACAGACACATGACGGTCTCCTTTAAGAAGCCCTCATGTTCTAGGTTGTAGGCCAGAGACTCAAAGTAAATATTAAATTCACACCAGCAGCCATTCTGTTCTAAATAACGGCTCGGTGCGTCTGGGTCTCAAAGGCAGAGGTGAGTCTGGTCCTGCAGCTGTGTTAGTATAAGCTCCACCAACCCACTGCACACACACGCTGGATATGTGCCTTGTCAGCACTGGAGAGGCCGAGACACAGAGAGAAAGAAAGAGAGAGTGAGTTAGGAAGATAATGGGAGGAAGGGAGGAGAGAGAGTGAAATTGGGGGGGGGGGGCCTCTAATGCGTCGGGTTTGTGCTCGCCGAGCTGCCGGGCACATCTCGGTTTGGGTTAGGAAATGGAGACCGCAGAGGCAGAGCGCTGGCCACGGACACACACACACACACACACACACACACACACACACACACACACACACACACACACACTCCTGCAGGATCCAGTGTAAAAACAGTAAAGACTCTTTCAAAAGCCCTCCATAACCAGCGGCCTAAAAATACGCTCAAATATCAGCATGAAAAGCAGTTTGCAGATGCACGCGCATACACACACACACACAGACACGCACAAGCAGGCCATAAGCAAATATATATGTTTATATGTTGAACATGAACACAGAAAAGCACAAACACCAGAGTGCACACACACCCACACACATGCCAGTGCAGTCTGCAGTGGATCTGTTGTCGCACATCTGCACATTCTCCTGACTTTTGCGGTGAGATTTGAGACTGCTTCAAGGCAAGGCAAACATCCACAGGCTGAGGGGAAGAGGTGTGTGCGTGTGTGTGTGTGTGTGTGTGTGTGTGTGTGTGTGTGTGTGTGTGTGTGTGTGTGTGTGTGTGTGCGTGTGTGCTAGCATGAACATGTTGCTGTGATAAAATATCACTTCTTGTTAAAATATCTGTGAGGCTTAAATTAATTCAATCTGGCCCAAACAGGTATTTAAAAATAGAAATGAAAGGCGAGGCGATGGATAAAACATGGGCTCAATACAGATGCAGACAAAAAATAAAAAAGATGATGTAGTTTAGATACAGCTTTGACCTTTTTCATGATTTTTAAGCTTCTCACAAAACGAGGGGATTGTTTAAATTGATATTTGCAATGTAGTTATGTCAGACCAAGGCAAAATCATTGTGCAATAATTAATCAAATTGATAAAAAAGCTGATTTAGTTCACTTCATCAGGTTTTTTTCTCCATGAAATTCGTGACAGGGATCATTTACTCAGAATGTCTTTGCCTCAGCCTGTGACATACTTTGAATTTAAAAAAAAAAAAAAAAAAAAAGCAGATTTGGGAGGAAGGGCTAAGAGAATATTTACCCTGACTCAAACCCAGGTCGGGGGTCTTTAAAGGTGGTGGTGCGCGAGTTGTGGTCCACAAAATATCGGACTCCCTCGGCGGTGTACTTCATCTCCCAGCCCGGGGGCAGGGGGTGCTCCTTGATCATCCTGCAACAGGGAGAGGGGCAGTGAGCACGGTCCCAGCCGAAGGGGGCCCCGTCCTGGGGATGAAACTAACACACCTCCCCACCAACCTGTGGATCTAAAGCCCTAGACGCTGAAACAAAAACCCTGCACTGGTACAAAAATTCACAGCTGTGCTCAGGTGGAGTTTATCTCCTCTGAGGATCCCAAAGGCATTTAGACTGCTTCCAACCAGAATAAAGTCTAGAGAGCCTGCATCAGTGGGGCCCACAGCAGCAGAGGCCCGTAAAAAAAGTTATCTTATTATAAAGACTAGTGACTCGGAGCAATATTTTTAGTGTGGCCAAAAATTCCTCGTTCCACTCTCGCCGCAGTTTGTGCTTCTCATGTATTACATCTGAATCACGGAGCTAACCATCAGTTTCTCAGAACAAGAAATGCCCAGCGATTTCTGAATCACTTACTGCTGTTCCGACAGTATTTCCAAAGTCCTCAAAAACTCTTCCACATCATCTTGATAAAAAATATTCAGTCTGCTAAGCATTTAAAAGATTTTTAACCCGCTTCACAAGTTGTGACTCAAATTGTGTTTTCTATCTTATATGTCACAGGGAAACAAAGGTGTTTTTTCAATGCAGTGGAATATATGCAAGAACCATTTTTTAGGCTACCATCTTTTTTGGAAACTGCTTAAAAATCTTTTTTTCCCCTGTTCAGATGGCTAGCAGAGTTTTGGGGGGTTGTGGAAATACCTTCATAACAGCAGTAAGTGTTGTATGACAAGCTTCTGGGTTAGTCAAAGGCTGCTATACTTAGCTCTGTGACCTGAATGTAACGTTAACAGATGAGAGGCACAAACCGAGGCAAGTGACCACATCTCCAGCTCGCCCTTATGAAGTCATATACAGCAGAAGATGTTCTGCACCTCTAAGAGCCTGACCACTGAAAAGGACTGAAAATTCAAATCTGTAATGTGTGAAATTTACTTCATCCAACCAAGAGTTAGAGGTTCAATTAGAATGAGTGATGTGAGAGGAAAACAATTCAGCTCAGGAAGTGTTTAAAACGTCAAAGAAATAGAGTGATGCCAGAAAAATGATCAAATAAACAGCAGAGAGATCGAAGAATATCAGCCTAGAGCCCAAAAGGTTTCCACGGTTTCCTGATTTCTTTTACTGATGCTGTTTTTCAGCACTGAACCGTTCTGCTATGTTCCTGCAAATTTGGCAAATTTCTATAGTCCCTAAATTCCAGAATATTCCAGGAGTCACCCTGATCAGTGGGAAACATGTACACATTGTAATGTAGATCACTCCCTCTGTTGTCACACTAAACTGTGTGTGATGATTAAATCGTCTTCAGTATGAGCAAACACCCAAAGCGACATTCCATCTAACGAGCAGGCAAACACATGCACACACACTAACACACACAGGTATTAGTACTTGTTCCAGTTCATAGTCTCACCCTTGGGTCCGAGGATCGTCCCATTGTGTTGTCCGTGTGTTGTGGTTGACAAAGTAAATTCTGCCATTGTCCTGACGCTTCTCTGTGGACACAAACACAACACAACAGCACGCTGAAAAAAAAAAAAAAAAAATCACTTCTCTAGGGTTTGTGATGTTTAAACTTGGAGGGTTTTAAAAGCGAATAAATTCCACAATAAATCGATGGAGATCAGAGGGATCACCTGAGAGTCTCTGACAGCAACAACTGGGCTCACTCCCTCTTTCAGCATGGACAGGAAAAAAAAATCTCACCACCGTGATAGAAAACCAGCAAGTCTATGTGATATTTCACTGAGGCTTGATTCGAATACCTCACCGGGGTAAACCCAAGTGTGTGTGAGTGTGTGTGGCATCAGGGTCGTGGTGGGGGTGTCTCAAAGTCAAAGTGACCATGCTGTTGGGAGCAAATATTAAGCCCAGATTCATTTCTTTAAAAAAGTATGAAATACCTGAAGGACTACATAGGAAGCACCTTGAACATAGAATAACATTTTATGGAAGTGTGTAAAGTGTGTGTCTGTGTGTGTACGGTAAGCCACTAGTCTCATGAGAAAGTAGCTGGTGCCCCATCCTCCTCCCTCCATCGCTCTGACATCTTTTTCTCATTAACAGGAGTGTGTGGAGGGCCCAGAAACAGTAGTGCTCACATTGCAACTGTTACTAGCTTTCTCCTTGACTCACTCCACCCCCTCTTTACTATCCAGTTTGAACCCCCCACCCCCACCCCCTCCGCTTTTTTAGTTTCTTTCATTCCAGTGTCTCTTGTGCTTCTCCTCCATCTTTCCCTCTTTTCTCCCATCTTTCTCTTTATGAATCTGAGCCTTGAAAAAAAAAGGCGAGGGGAGCGACCACAGATGAAAAAGAGCGCGCCAGAGAAGCGAATCTGAGCCAGTGATATAATTGAGGTTTTGGTCTTGAGGTACCGCAACATGTTGAAAAGGCATCATGGGCAAGGGAGTGAGGGTTTTTGGAGCGAACATGGCTGTGTGATGAAGTCTGTGAAAATGTTGGTGCGGAGCTGCCAGCGGCGTTCCTTTATGAATGAATGTGTGTGACATGATTCTGCGTGGATCCGATTACATTACTCATTTGGGAAAATGTTGGATGATGAAGAGTCCCATCAATAATGCGGCCTCTGTAATTTGCGGACTTAAGAGTAAAGGGAGTGCGTACAGTGATGAATTGGTATAACATGAGCAGGGGATGAAAAAGAAACCAAGAGACATTTTATCCAGATTTTCAACGCCGGAATGAAAATCAAAATCAGGAGCTGAGACATAAATCAATCAATTAACAACTGTCCTCACTGGGGGGGGCTACAAGGAAGACGCTCAAGCAAATAATTGAAGCCACCGAACCAGCATTGTTTCTGGTGTTGCTAAGAGGCTTAAAATGATCGCCCAGAGTTCTGTGGAGAAGAGAAAATGCTGCAATGCTGCAAACATTTTGCAACACTTCACCCAAACCTCACTCCATTGCAGCTGTCTGCAGAAATAAAAACCACATTTTGAAAAACTTTAAGTGACCAAATCAAGAGCCCACCGTTTATATCTTGACAAATTGCATTGCTTTGCCGTTAACTACTTACAAGAGTCATTAAAAAATACCTACACAAAACTGGTGAGGATTTCACGTTGTGATTGGAAACAGCTCAGACTGAAGAATCCTATCCTGACTGATCAACACCTTCAGCAGGTAAAGAGGACTTTCAAACTGACCAAAATCTGACACAAACTAAAATTCAAGACCATTTTGCCCCCCCCCCCCACTGAGAGTAACTTTGTCTGGAGTGTATGCACGAGGAGTGTGTTAGGCAAACTTACCCCATCCAGGAGGCAGTGGGCCCAGAGGATCATTTTCCACCGGAGCACCAGACGGCTGAGAGAGAAACAGAGAGAGACAAAACAAATCCGGTTAGGACACCTTTCTGTCTCTGTCCTCTCTTCCTCCATCTCTCTGCATGCCTTTTTTCCTGCTTTCAGCGTTTGTTGTCCTCAATGTACATCACGGTGTGAAATTCTTCAGTCTGTCCATTTGGTTTCTCACTGCCGCGTGAGGATGAGAAGGAGGAAAAGATTGGGAAAAAACAACCCAAAAAATACAGAAAGAAGGGAAAACCAACAAGAGTTTGGATGAGAAAGAAAAAAATTAGAAAATTAAAAAAATCCAGAAAAACTTACTTAGCAAAGCTGCCCTGAACTTAGACAATCAAGTCTTCGCTTGACCTCGCTAACTCACACAACAGGGATGATACCTGTGGGTGAGTGAGGCTGGCTGTGTGTGTGTGTGTGTGTGTGTGTGCATGTGTGTGTGTGTTAAGGGGTGGGGGTGGCTCCTCTCTGCTGCGGCGGTAAGGGGCAACTGAGGGAGCTGGCCGGCCGGCGGCTCGTATGCCTTCCAACAACTACACGCTCGGTAGGAGGATAAAACAACAACGCTGTTCCAATGAGCTCACTGGCTGGATGCAAGCCCCACCCCCCGGCTTCCCGCTCACCTCCTCAAATACACCCCACCTCCTCCTCCTCCTCACCTCCTCCTCCACCCTGGCACCCCTCCCTACCCCACCTCTTTTCTCTTGCTCTCTTCTAGTGCTGCTGTGAAAGTAGGCAGGGAAGTGCGATGTCTGAGGGAACTGAGGGAACATTCATGCTTGTTCCAGACTGGACACCCCCCTCCCGCCTCCTCACCGGCCGCCCCAACCTACCCCAGGCCTGACAAAAGGCACCTTTATTCACCCTGGGTCTGGAAACCACTGTGGGGTTTACTCAGCCTACACTCATATACACACACACTGAAAAAAAAGTGTGTGTGTGTGTGTGCCATGGTGTGGAAAGTTTGTCCGTGGCAAACAGTCAGTCAATGTGTACGTTCTTATGTTGGAATACACACACACAAGCTCACATGAATATATTAGCTCGAGTGGAAAAGTAGCTGAAAAGACGCTTGTTAGGAATTAGTGGCTGCTGATGGGTTTTCATGCTAAAGATGTTTATCAAAGAGGTTGATGTAGGTGTGTTGCAAACTGCTGCAGAATCATTTACTGCACCACCAAGCAGTTCCTCTAATGACAACATGTTACGCTGGATAATATGTCAGTGGTGCTGCAAATAAAAAAGGCGGGTGCACTGTGAGTTGTATTTGGGGATTGTAGAAGCCAAACAACCCTCAATGTGGACCAAAAAAAACAAAAAAAACCCACAGTTATTCATTTAGAAAATCATACAAAAATGCATGAAAAAATTGGTTTCTGTGGATTCACCTTCTGTTTAATAGCAGGTTTTGGCAGCACAGGTAGCGCTTGTTGTCCTTTATTAGCTACCCTGAAGTGAAAAAACCCAAAGCCACTATTTTCCAAATGAAAGCTGGTGGACCTTCAAAGGGTTTTTTTTTCACTGAGACATGTTGCACCACAAAAGTGATGATTATTTCCTGAGAAGCCATAAAGTAGAGTATTATCCACCAAATGTCAACGTCACTTTACGCAGCATTTCCCAAAAAGAAATGTGACTGTGCCCATTTAAAGTAGCTCTGTCATGGAAACTCTGAGGGAGTCAGGATGGAAAGGACGGGGCCTGCTGAAGGAACGAGAGTGGGCACATAACAGGGTTAAAGGGTGTGTGTGTGTGTGTATATGTGTGTGTCGCTCCCATCAACAGCCAATCTATGCCCCGGCGCCCCACCCTTATGGGTTTTCTGTGACTAAAAAAGGTAAAAGGAGAATATAATGATATAAAGACATGATGACTTCATCCTGGCTCTGACCATTCAGCTCCTCAGCAGCTTCCAGACAGAGCGAGGCTGGAGGGAGGAAAAGAAAGAGAGACTGAGAAAACAAGGGAGGGAGAAGAAGAGAGGGAAAAGCAGCATGTTGGCAGAAACGTGTGAAATAATGGCTGGGTGTTATGGATCTGAATGGATACCATTTCATGGCCAGACACCACAGGTGAAAATGATGATTTCAGCCAGTTGTTTTTAACATGTTCAAACACTTTTACCACCAATGCGGCTACAGAAAATATGCAAACCTATTAAAAAAACTTTAACTATTAATTTATACATCTATAAAAACTTTAGGCACATTGCTGTTGCAATGACGACTTGCCACTTGTTTTGCACATCTGCAGAGAGCAGAGGCAAATCTGTGCCCATGAGGAGAAAAAACGAATAACAGGAATCCAGTAAACTTGAGGTCAATGGGTTCATCAGCCATTCAAACACTCTGAAAACATGGACGCTCATCTGTGTTTCAGACTGATTTAGCCAAGCAGTTTTTGTTATGTTGTTTCTCATCTTATATTAACTGATGGTTACTTGCCCAGTGTTCATAAAAAAAAAAAAATCAGAAAGAAACTATTTTTGCTGGTGAATATTTGCATCTTTCTAATTTGCTTATAGGTTTATATTCTCAACAGATCGGTTTTAATTTGACCCGGTTCAGACAGAGATGTTTGAGGACAATTTAACAAATGTGCAACAAAATATCTCAACTCAAAGTTTTTTCCACAGCGTTTAACTGAAATCCATGGTCTTAGGTCTTCTAATGACCCTGTGAGATGTGGTTGGGCTGCAACTAACAATTTTTTTCATTATTGGGTCATCTGCCAATTCTTTTCTTGCCTGATTAATTGTTTGCTCTATAAATGTACAAATGCTTTCTTCAAAGTTTTTTTTGCATTTTTGTTCTTTTTTGAGAGAGGAAAGTAAAGAGTCAGACTGGGAATTTGTTCCCAATATTAAGAATTGAGTTAAATGTTCAACTTTAACAAACCCCATGGCAAATGACCAATTATCTTAACATTCATCGGGACAATTTAAACATTATCCACTGTGAACCTTTGCCTCAACAAAACAAATCAACATTATACCATTGATCTGACATTAAAAATTTTGAGGTTACTGTAGTTTGGCCTGCTTATCCACACAGTCAGCAACTGGAGCTGTAGCAGCTGTGACACACAGCTAATGGAGGACATTACTTGTACTCCCTTGCTTATACTTTAAAAACCTTAGCACCTGATTGCCAAATTTGCTTCATGAGTCATACTCCTTCTCTGAGTCATATGTCAGTCAAACCTGAACACACAGACATGATACACATTCTGTTTTGCTAGATTAAGTGTAACTTTGCAAGGATAGCATTATCTTCAATGTCCACTGCAAATAAACATCCATAAAATTGCTTGAAAATCATGCCAAAGACGTAGCTCCAGAACAAGCCTGACAATCATCATGTTTTTAAGTTCACACATGGGTACACAGCAAACAGGAACTGCTCAACACTAATTAGGCTTACTTGTAACGGTGGCATAGATGCCAAAATGTCAACATATATAGGCTATTCCACATATATAGGCAATTCCAAAATGGCACTGTACTATAACAATTTATGATAATAACTAGATACTGGATGCCAAGATGGCACCTATTCATACCAATGGAGTTGCTCACCTAGCACATATGCCAAAAAAGTTTCTAGCTTCCAGGTTTACTTTTGCAGCATGCAGCCCACTGAATATGTGAAATAGTGTTTCTCCTACTGGCCCCGTCCGCGAGTTCATGCTCGGCTCATTGACTTTACACTGTGATGACATCACAGATTTCGAAATTGCTTTTCTCTGCTAGAGGAAAGGGTCACTAACATAAAACCTCCATGGATCAAAATACACAATGAAGAGTCATAATTGAACTTGTTTGCAGTTTGAGGTGTCCTGTCAACAGTTTTACAGGCTTTACTTTTACAATGGTGGCCTGTGGGGAAAATGCTTTTTGGGCTGCGGGGAATTTCTTCGCTGCAATACTGAGAGTGTCCACTGGGAAAAACTGGCTGCAAGGCTGAGTTGTGTTTCTAGGGGCCTGCTTGCTAGGTGCTGATGCTGTTACTTTTTGTGGAACTGTTTCCTTTCTTCTGTTGTTGTTGTCTAGGGATGTGGGCCCTTTGCGTGTGAAGAGAGTGCCACTGAGCACAAACATTTTATTGTAACTTTTTTGCATAGGAAAATTACTGTGAACTCTGACTAAATATTTGTCCACAGTGCAGCGTACTGTAACACGTAAACAAATTACTGCTCTTTGGCCCATTGGTGTAGTTTGGAAAATGTCTGAATGCAGCTGGAATATATGTGAATACAAATGTAGGTATTTAAATCATAGGATTATATGTGTGAAGAGGAAACTTATCTGCCCATGCAGACTAGTAGGTTCTGTCCACTGATGTTTAATTTTAACGCAAGATAAACATTTTTAATGTATAGTAAAACCAACATACCGTAAATCACACTCATAGGATCAATCTTTAATTCACAACATACTGTTAACAAAACCAGCATCAGTGCAGTTTAAATAACGTCTGTTCATTGTCCTTTCATAGTATTAACCACTCACAAATGTGCTTTATGGAAACATGAGCAGTGACGGGTTGTGTGTAAACATCAGCGAATGTGACTTACAGCCATGTGTAAGTTTTCTGTTCAGTGGTGCAAGTGATAAAACACAGGGCTGATTCAGGTGCTGCTGTTAAGGGTCCCTGTTCCAGCGAGAATGGACAGAGAGTCGGAGATGGGGGGGTGGAGGGAGGGGGAGCGAGGGAGGTTGGGAGGGGCGAGGGAGGTTGGGAGGGGGACGAATTCTGAGGCCAGAGGAAGAAGAGTGGTAAAAACAGAGATAAAGAAAGAGAAAGAAGGAGACGTGATCGCAAGCGAATCAAGATAAAAATGATGCAGAAAAGGGGAATTTTGAGAGGGAAATGGAGATTGGGGGGGATTTTGGAGAGATGACAGAATGATGGGCGGGGCTAAAGAAACGGATAGAGGTCAAGGAAAGGAAGACTGGTAAAGGTGAAAAGAAGAGGGGAGAGAGAGAGGGGAGAGCCGGAAACAGCAGTTAATGACTCTGAGGCAGCTCTCTCTGGGGTTCCTAACGAGCTGCAATTACTCTGAACACACACACACACACACACACACACACACATACACACACAGGACCAGCTAAAAAAGGGTATATGTGCAAGTATTCGTGTGGCTAATGCATAAAAACTTTGAATGCTTGCACGCTTTGGTGCTTGATTTTAAGAGTTTGCTCAGACACAACTTTACACAGTGTGTGTATCTGTGTGTGTCTGTGTGTGTCTGTGTATGTGAGTCTGCATGCATGCATGGAGACACCAGTTACAGTGCCATGGTCCATTTAAGAGGACAACCGGCCCCTTGACCCTCTCTGGTTGTCATGTGCTACAGAAAAGAAATGTGGCACCTGACCTCGACATTGCAAGCCTGTGAACACACACACACACACACACACACACACACACAAACTCAGAGAGGAGGAGCACGTGATTTAACAGTGGGGACCTACATACACACATGAGCATCACAAACACAAACACACACTAACAAAGAATCCTAAACAGCCGCAGAAAATAAAACCTTATGACCATGACCTTATTAATAATGGTAAGAGAGGATGATATATTATCTAACTAATTTTCGAATAATTATTTTCTATAGTGCATCTGCACACAGTGAGAGTGTTAGTCGGGCAGTAGAACATGTGGCTGTGCTCACAGTTAAACTATGAGCTCTTTTGTGTGTTTCCTTGTTCACACACACTGGGGCCATAAATAGTAGCTGCTATCAGCAATGTGGGCATTCCAAGACGGAGCAGTGTACTATCAACACGGAGGGCAGACCTGCCTATTGGCTTTTCTCACACACACACACACTGAGGGAGTGCAAGGAGGGAGGGAACCAGGGCGGAGGAGGAAGGAAGGAGGCAAGTTTCCAGCCAACACTGAACCTAAATGTCTCTGTCACAAGGAGGACTCAAGGTGTGTAGTGTCCCCTTTGGTGACATGAAAACCTGAATTAATCCTGACACTGCTCAGTATCCTGAATGTACCCAGAACTTTCTATCTTTTCCTAAGCATTGCCAAATTTTTGATCCAGTTACTCCTCCCTAAAAAAAAGGCAGAGAACAGTGGAAAAAAAGTATCTGGAACAACAGCTACACTACAGTGTTTAATTTTGTCTAACACAAGCAACTGTACAAGTTAACAGTACTGTACGAGAAAGGTTTAAAAATATCTGATCAAAGAATAAGGAAACATGACTAAGAATCCAAAAAAGCATTAATGTCAGCTTTTGGTGCTTTCAAGACTTGCTATGTACACATTTTTTCTTGTACCCAAAAAGTACTGAGGTTTGATACCCAGCCTTGGAACAGAAATAATAACAACTTTAGTGTAAACAGAAACACAAAATGATAACCAGCCAAGAGCCACTGTAACTGCAAGTGAACAATAAATCAATAATAAGTTAGCAGCTACACCACCTGCTCACATTTTGTGTTTAACTTTTCATAAAGGAGCTTTGTTTCTCTCCTGCTTGTATGTTAACTGCCCAGATGTTTGATGGGGGTTAATGCCCGAAGTTTAACTACTCCTGCTTCAGTAGTCTGAAGACCAAAAAATGAATCTGAGTGTTCTGGTTAAATTGAGTAATAAAACATTTCAACACTGACCACAGCAGCCACATGCAGACAGGGATGCTGTGAGATGATGGGATCCAAAGTGTAAAGGGAGAAATCTTTGGGTGTGAAAATGTCAATGAGTTTAAAAAAGGGAGGGATGGGATGATGGTGTATGAATAACAGGACAGACAGATGATGGGAGGGTTCGAAGAATGGATGGAGTAAAACATTTTCAAAAAAACTGAAACGCTAGCACACACACACACACACAGTGCTGGGTGGGGTGTTTTTATAGAAGCCTATAAGAGTTTTAAGGCTGGTTTTACTAATGGTCCATTGAGAAAGCTCTGTTGATTTAGTCCCATAAGTCTGTACTGTCTGGCTGCAGTCTGACCTTGGCTGCTTCACTGAGAGGAAGGCGACTGTCAGAGACACAACCGAAACTCTAACTTACTCCACTGGAAAAATACTATAAACAAGTCTCAAATAACATCTTTGATCCCCCCCTATAGGCGACGTCTCCAACAAGTAAACCACACTGTGTCATATATAGTGCTGATGTTACTCAAAACATGTACTGATTGTGTTCAGTCATGAGGTGCATTGTGCGACAAATTTAAACAAAGATCTACTATGTGACATTTCATGAAAAGTATTTCACAGTGTTTTCATTCTCAACAATGTGAGCTGAAGCAGATCAACTCTAGCCCAACTTTAAACCCTACAGTAATGCGTGACACCGCAGGGTTTTACCTCCAAAAACAGTGGCTGAACAAACGGATTTGTGCTGCTTTAAAGTAACTATGTGTCAAATTTTAAAAAAGTCTGTCTTTAAACATGTTTTGTGAAGGCACCTTTGACCACCAAAATTCTAATGAATTAATTATTGAGTCTGAGTGGACGTTTGAGCCAAACTTGAAAAAATTCCCTCAAAGTGTCCTTCAGATATTGCATTCACAAGAATGAGACAGATAAGGTCACAATAACCTTGACCTTTGGCCACCAAAATACAGTTTATCTGTAAGTCCAAGGGGACATTTGTGCCAAATTGGGAGAAATTCCCTCAAAGCGCTCTTATGACAGGAGGCATACACACACCAGGCATGAAAGACAAATAACAAGAACAAGGTAAATGACCTCCAAAACCATCACTGAGATTATGGGATTGCATTCTCAAGTAATACAACACTGGTTGTGGGTTCTTTCTTTCAAACTGAGCTGACTTCACTCAGACTTTAAATGGCAGTGGTGCTAACTCTTTACTGTGGAAGTAACACATCTATACATACAGTGTAATGTCTACACACAATAAAAGTCATGAGTGACCGAAGAAGATTCTGCGTATTTGTGAAATTGTAGTGATTGTGGTTTTGCCTGTCGGTTGACACGCTGCTATTGATGGGAATTTCTGTCCTCCATGTAACACATCACAGGCTGATAAATCACGTCACATCTTTCTGGTAAACATGGCATTACTTTCAGGCCTACTCCACATGTACATGGCAACGTTTGAAAACGTAGCTTTTTTTAATGTGTTTTGGCTTTTCGTCCACACCTAATCTGTGTTTTAGATCACTGTAAATGGACCATTTGCAAAACCCCATCCAGGACGAAGATTTTCACAAACTCTGTTTTCAGTGTTGACAGGGTGATGGAGAAAACAGTTTTTTTGGTCAGAGTGCACCATTATTTTCTGTGTGAGGTGCCACAAATGAGGCGACATTTTGTGCAAGAGCGAACATGACAAAAATAGTGTTGGCTCTACCTTTGCTAAGAGGACTTTTTATATATAAATATACAGTTATTCTTTCACTATGTTGAGGAACAGAGGCGGCAGAATGAGCTATAGAGGTCACTGCTACAGGTGGCCTTCTTTCTCCTGTGTACTAGAATACTGTGTGCATGAAAACTTGGCCAGTTAAGGTTTGAATACCTGGTAGAGGAAGCGCTGACTGAACTGGTGCATGGCGCCCTGCAGTTGGCTGCGCTGACTCTGCCACTGCTGGTAGTTGCGCACAGACTCCGCTGTGGGCCTCTGCCATGTGGTGGTTCTGGTGTTGTGGTCCACGTAGTAGAACCTGCCCCGCTGGTCCACTCGCTTCTCCCAGCTGGAGTGGGGACAGAGAGAGAAGGGGGGAAATGTGAGGGGCTGCAGCTTTCAACAACATCTTTATTAAGCACAAGTCAAGAGTGGGTGGTTGTATCAAAACGCTACACTGCTGATAGTAACAGTGTTGATTTATAGAGACGAGAAAAAACAAAGGCAAGAAAAGGAAAGAAAACAGTGAGAGGAGGGAGACAGAGTGGGAGGGAGGAAGAAGAAAAGAGGAAAGGGGATAGAAGCGTAAAGATGTACAGAAGCAGGAAAGAAATGGATGAAGAAAAGAAGTGGAGGGGAAGGAAAGGATAGATTATGCTGCTAAAATAGTTAAACCAAAATATCCCTGACAGAACACGTTAGATTAAAGTTGTGGATTACTGAGCTTAGAAAAATAAAACAGATACCAACATATTTTTTCCACAAATTTGGCTTAAAATGTAACTAGTTTTCTACTTCTCATAGTGTCTAAGGGCCTGTGCATGTAAAAAAAAATATCCCAAACTTACATATGGTCAGCGGCAAACTTTAAAACTTGGTCAATATCTCCAGAAAATCCGCTTTCCAGGGACAGAATAAGGCTGCTGGATATTCACACGGCAGGGCCCAAACTTTGGTTTGGCTCGGCCTCAGACGTCATCAAACAGTTTATTCACTTTAAGACAATGCCAGCCCTCAATTACAATGATGAGGGAAAACAATAGGAGACGCCAGGTTTCTGAGTGACAATAACCATGTGCTGCGGCGTGTGTTTGTGTGTCAGTGCCTGCCAATGGCATTACTCAGATGTCTATGTATACCCTGTTCCTCCCCTGAGATGGGGAGTCTGGACACAGACTGAGATATAGACGTTCCACAGAAATACACACACACTCACAGGAAACATTGGTCACATATGCCACACACACACAGGAACATGGCTTCACTCACTCACTCACTCACTCTCTCCCACACACACATATACACACACGCACGCACGCACGCGCACACACTGACCAGTTTCCTTGGCTCAGCAGGACAAGCTGCTGTTATGCTGCTCTGCTTCTATTCTCATATCTCTGACTCAAGCGCTACAGAATTTGGAAGAGAAAACAACATCAACTTCCGCATGCTAACAAAAACACACTGCAGATACCAACAGGCTTGAGAAATACGCACACACACACTTACACACACATAAAGGAATAAAAGCAGACCAGGAAAGCGCTTTCATTGTTGCCCCGATGTTAAAACTCCATGACATTTTTTAGACTAGCTGGAGCACTATATCTCTGTGATCCTCTTCATTTCTAGTTTGTTCAATGTTTTTCTAAAGTGGGCTTCAGGTCTGGTTTCCACCACAGTCAGGATAAAACTAGAATTTCCTTGCCTTGTGGTTGTATCCCACCGCCACCATGTCAAGTTACAGTTTACATCCATGTCTGTCCAGACTCATATGAAGCCATGACAGCAGACAATGTTTTTAAATGTGGATGATGCTACAAATAAGCTACATATTTTAAAATGTGGATGCTTTACACACATCTGACCCCCCGCAGCACATAAGATCTATTTAATCAGCACAGTTTCAAGGTGGACTCCCAAGATTAGTGTCACCAATTCAGTATCTGACCAAATGTCTCCACTTCTGTTCCTGAGTTATGATGCCAAGTAACAACCAGAAAAGTGTTTCTGCAGAACATCATGATGTCACAGTGAAGCTGACCTTTGATCTTTTGGATATAAAATGTCATCACTTCATTATTTTATCCTATTTGATATCTGTGTGAAATTTTGTCATGAATTAAGATAAGATAAGATAAGATAAACTTTATTGTCCCGCAAGGGAAATTCGTCTTGGGCAGTATAGTGCAAACAGCTGCAATATTCACATACATACATACATACATACATACATACATACAATCAACACAGACAAGTTGTCAACATAGTGCACTGACTGTGTTACAGTTGCAGACTACTGTTGCAAGAGTAGTGCAACCGTTTCCCTTGTTTGTAGGGTTACAAACAAGGGAACTCTTGAGTTATGGGCCAAAACCATGCTTAGTGAGGTCACAGTGACCTTGGACCTTTGGCCACCAAAATCTAATCGATTCAACCTGTACGTTTGTGTTAAATTTGAAGAAATTCCCCCAAGGTGTTCTGGAGATATTGCATTCACGAGAATAGGGTGGACGGACAACCCAAAAACATAACGCCTCCAGCCATGGCTGTTGTCGGTGTGGAGGCATAAAAAAAACACCAGCTACTGCAATGGATGTGTGAGACAAGCTGTAAGATAAACTCTGCTCTAGTTCCCTACAATGAACTTTAATTTGTCAAAATCTTATCTATTCTATTCTACATTTTAACAGTTTGAGACACACTTTTTAAAGCTCTCTGGTATTGTATTACATGGAAAAACATAACATTTCATTACTGGTGGGAATCTGAACAACACACAAGGTTTCCAAGGTTTTCATTTGCTGAATCCTTCCAAGGGTTCAAGTCCTCTAAATAGACTCACTTCTGTTGCACCAAAGCTATTACTGCAAACTCACACACACACATTCACTGTGTATTCAGTGCACAGGAGGAGAGCTGCATGAAAGATTTACTCAAGTTAACATTCTCAGTCAACTTTCCCTGAATGAGTACGCATTTATTAAATGTTATAATCCCTGAGATTTTTATTAAGTCAAGTCTCTATTCATGGAGGGTTTTGGGGCATTTTATGTCTCTGTTACCAAGTTGATAGTAAAAGGTGATGAAAAAATGACATGCAGGATTCAAACAAGTGATGTAACTGTTCTATGTCGGCAGCTTATCCGCTGTGCCACCAGGGCGTCCCACCTCACTTTCTAAAGGCTATACATGGCTGGCATTTTTTCAGCAACAGCAATTCAATATATTTACATCTTGCATTTGCCCCTTATGTTGTAGTTTTCATTGTTAATGGTGCAGTCCGTCTTTCCTGTGTGGGTTCAAAACAGAACACAACACACAAGGGATTCACAGGAAACAATGCATGTGAGTACTCTACTGTTAGTGTTTATTTCTCTGTTTAATGACATCTCTGCTTCAGCCATGTCTCGCTAATGCAAACCAAACATTTCCTTCTGTTTCAGATTAAAAGAGTTCAACCGGCAGTACAATTTATTGTGAAGCAGCAACAGGTAACACAAAGTATTTGTCAGGGAAATTTTTGTACACTAAAATCAGTAATCATAAGATATAGGACAATATGATACAGTGATTCCTCTCAGTTCACATTTTTGGCTGTTCTATATAAAGATACATGCTAATGTTTTAAAAAACAAGTCACAAATATAAAACGTATTTATAGACATTAAACAAAGCTCTACATTACTGAAACTGCTGGGCTCTGTGGTTTTTATTCACTCAACAGAAGGAAGAAGTGCATTTGTTGAGAACTATTTTCAGCAGTGGATTAATGCACATTCAGTGCCCTAGAGAGTATTGGGGCAGCAGGAAGGTGTATGTGGGACTGAGTCAAAATAAATGACAGTGTGTGTGTTCATGGTAACGAAGGCGCAACAGTGTGGCTCACTTATGTTGTTTTTAATGGTTTCATAGTAGAATGAATATATTGGTGGTTTGGGTCCATTCATATTATTTGTTGACAATATGAAAAATAGAAACTTTATCCCCTGACTTATCCTTTAAAACACACTTGTTATTACCACCAGCAACCACAGGTGTCTCCAAATCAAAAAGAAGTAAAATCTTAAAGATGATGGGCCCTATCTTACATCCAAAGTGATGCACAGTGCAGCGCAACTGTCATTGCCCATTTAAGACTGACGCAGTTGTCATATTCATGGCTAGTGGCCACATTGTGTAAGCTGCAAATGTACTTGCGCTTACCGTTGCGCCCCTGGGTGTGGATGTCTTAAAATGAGGTTTGATCAGGTAAACTGTTGGTGTATTGCTATTTTGAGGCAGCAGAAGGTGATTGTGCCATTGACCAACAAAAATCTGGTCTGAAGTCAGACAGCTGCAGTAATTTCCTGCCATTTAAAGGGTGCATTATTCAGACAGTAAGATGGGCTGACATAGGCGAGTTCACAACATGCATACTCTCAGCCTGTTACACACACAGGGATGCACAGATGGGTTGTGGTTGGGTGAAATAAATCATTAAGGAAAATATTAATTACATTCTCTAAAACTTGAACATAGCAGAGAGCAGAGCAGAGCTACTGTCCGACTCCCCATTAATAATGGTGCTGTGCACATTTACGCATGAGGAGCAGCGTAACTTCATTGATTATTTCAGAGGCTAAATGTTTAGTTCTATTTTCATTGTCAAGTTCATAAAACAGATCTTAGTTCTACATATAAACAGAAGTTGTGCACCAGTATTAGGCAAAATAAGTGATCTAACTTGAACATCATCCAACATGCAAAGTGAGTCTTCTGGCACTACTAATGTTTATTGTATTTAGCCTGGTACTTGAGTGAGATGGCAGCTGATACTCAACAAGCAACTGAGAAGTCTCAAAAATATGAGACACCAAAAACAACAACTAACAGCTCTTTTAGTGGCCATGACAAAACTGTATGACCCTGACAGACAACTTCACTTTTCCCTAAAACAGAGAAGTTTGAGCAACACTATAAACCGTCAACACTGTCATGTTCTTGATAACTGTATGTGCACATACAGTACGTACTGTAAATGGTACTTCTCAGGTCTTAAACTGCTCCTTGCTGAGGCCTTACACATATCTAGCAATAGTGTCTCGAAGCCCACATGGTCTACATTATCACCCTGAAGATTTCAGTTCAGAAACAACACTACTAAATTAGCTAATGTGAGGATTTGAATAAATTGTCTTCTGAGGGGAAAATCTTTTTTCTCTTGTGGTCACAAGTCAGACTCAGCAACACAACAGCACCCGCAAGCTGGCAGGTTTCAATATCTTGCTCAAGGACACTTCAGCAGCGTGGATGATTGCAAACACAGGGAGTTATTTTGTTGAGGGATAGTCTCTCTGACCACTATGCCTCCGAGCCTCCTTTAAAAGGCAAGAAAAATACTGTTCCCTCTCTGATATTAGCACTAGCTAGTTATTTACTGGAGCCAGGGAAAATCCCAGAGCCCGCAATGGCCTGTCTGAGAGTCTCTACTTAGTTCTGCTATCTGACTTCAACTCTTTGTACCAGTCATGTCATTAACTATCTACTGCATGTATATCTTGGAACTAGAAATGTAAAGTCTCCTCACTATGAACTGTCCAGATTAAGACTATACAGTACATCCTTTATCTTCTTTTGGACAGTCCATTCATTGTTTATCACCATGTTGGCTGACAGCAATTGCTATGAGTTCCTATCTTCTTCATTCTCTGTTGGGATGCAGTTTGATATGTGTTTATTGAATGAAATGGGGTAGTCTGCTTTGAGACTCTGCTTTATCTTTGGTTCACATGTCTATACTATACATGTATTTACTGCTTACTCTGTTGATATTCCACTGCTCATGTCAATTACGACTCATGAACTGCGGTCAAACTGTCAAACTAGGCAGCGCTGATCAAATATGAATCAAGATTCAGTTACTACATTGCCTATTTCTCATCTTCATTGTTTTGAAATGTATTTTCATGTGCTGTCTGGCTGTTAAATTAAAAAGTTTGTGACCCAAGCACCATGCACTGGCCAGAGCAAACATTCTCATTTTAAAGCTAAACAGTACACTAAAATATGTTTCTGAAAACATTTCAGGCGAGAAATGCAGTAACAGAATCTTGTTTCATATTTGATCAGCTCTGCCTAGTTTGACAGTTTGACTGCAGTTCATGAGCAGTGACTGCTGTGATTGACCGCTGCTTTAGAGACTCCTCTGCTCTGATTGGCTGTTTTCATTCAGCCACGCTGGATTCTTGCAAATGCCATTAAGAGCACTTTGAGGAGACAAGAGAGCATGATTTTTTTTGACAGATCATTTGCCTGATGTAACAACTGTCAGGATATAGTGATACTTAAAAAAATACTTTTTGCGATATATGCTGAAAAGGAGAGACTCTAATAAGACTCTAAATACCACCCTGTCAACTATTAAATTAATCGCCAAAAAATTTAATAATCGATCAGTTGGTACAAGTAACTTTTTAAGAAAAAAATCCAAATTCATTGATTGCAGCTTTGTTATGTAGATAGTTTCTATATTTTTTTGGGTGGTGAACAAAACAAGATATATGAGGACGTCATCTTGGGCTTTGGGGACATTTCTCACCATTTTCTGCCATTTTATAGACCAAAAAACTAATTGATTAACTGAGAATCAACAGATTAATCAGAAACACAATGTTCAAAACACTTATAGGAAACTTTTTGTGCTGCTTCTTTCTTGCTGTCTGCTGGCTCAGTCTGTGATGACATATCACTAGTGCTCACTTTACTGATGAAAGTGCCTCTTCATCAGCATACACTCTTTCAAGACAGAAATAATATTCTCAGGAAGTTGCGTGCACGGGACAGGCAGAAATTAAACCGTATTAAAGTATCTCAGGAGATCCATCATCCCTCTGGAGGTTTGATCCTGTGCTGATTCATGATAGAACTAACTGGCAAAACTGGGGGTTTGTTAAGCATCCAAGCATCAGTATTGCTCAGTAACACAGCCACATTAACGTACTCTGCCACTTCTAGAAAGCCACCAGCAAACAGACAGGATGGGAGACACTGCAGTCCCGGTTGTCAAGTATTGCTCACAGCTTTAATTAAGTTGTTCATAAGAAAGAGTTCTTTTCCTTAGACTGTCCATTTGGCCTCAGAAACTGGTTTTTGGGAAGATGTTACTGCTACATTTAGGCTTGGTACAGCTGTTGCCATTCAATGGTGGGAATTCTCTCTAACCATTTAAAAAGCATTAGTCGAGTTAAAATGTAACCATTTGATCTTTTCAAATGCAATATTTCATATCACCACAAAATGCTTTACAGTCTAGTTTCTATTGTTTAACTTTGTCTGAATAACACTGTCAAAAATCATGAAAAGGAACTGTAAAAATGTGGTTGACACACATCGTGCCATGCTGACAAGTACGGCTTGGTGTAAACACAGCATCAGTTTTAATTTAAGAGGCCCTACTACAGCTAGACTAAAACAAAGTGTGTTATGACATCCTGCAGCTTACAAGAGTGGTTAAGCCTGTGATGTATCACTAGTTACAAACTCTAGAGTATATTTGATAAAGAGCAGTGTGACTCAGAAGCTCTCCTCAGCCTGGCTTCGGATGGCTTTCATTATTTCAGCTTCCAAACCTCGATTGCCTAACCCTCCCCACCCTGCCCCCCCAGCCTCTAAACAGTTCCTGGTGTGTACATCTGGAGCACTAGCCCAGCATTAGCTTGCTAATTGATCCTCTGAAGGGCCACGGCGGCCAGCAGCCAACACAGTGGTGGATGGAAGTACATGTGGCTCTAAGAAAGGACTTTTGTTCTCTAGGCCCCCGTGCTCTTGTTCCTTGTATGGAAAAACTGAGATTGGGGGGGCGGGGGGGTTCGGGGAGAAGGAGGGGGTGACCTTTTCCTAAAAACAGTCTCTCTTTCCCTCTGTCACCCAGTCACACACTCAGTGAAAATCAATAAATAATGGATGCAAGTAAAAATGTCATAAAAGGGCTGGACTCTGGCAGGGGTGCTCTGCTCTCGTAATGCTGTCCACAAAGTGAGGCAGAAAGCTGTGTTCTCATTATGATGGCTTAGTACACAAACACTAAAATCACACTGGGTAATTTGGGACCAATTACAGTGTATGTAGTTTTAACTGAGAGCAAACATTCTTGATACATTCTTAAATCAAACAAGAAACAAGGAGGCTCGGTCTGGCAGCTGACAGGAGTGGAGCTCAACATGAAATCCTCTGAATACATTTCTGTACTTGATCTGCACATGGCCAATGATGTGAGCTCCTAAAGGCCTGGTCGTACCACCAATTAACATGGCTAAATGTGGAGGAAAATTTAATTCATTTCAGTGGAACTGCTGCGGTCAGAGGATTGGCTGGTAAGGGTGAAATAAATCTGCAAAATTTTTTGGCATTGAGTTCAACTTTGATGACACAGGAATTTGTAGCTCATCAGCTGTGTTGCACCATCCGCTTTTATTTAAAGGTGGACCGTATTTTGTGTCATAGTGTAACAATAAAGGATGTTCATAATAAACGTAGCCAAAGTTTCAAATAATGAGGTAAACGTATACTGAAGTGATTCCTGTGAGCAAGCTACATGCTGATGTGCTAACATGTAAACTTTGTTGCCGTAAATGTAAATTTCTCCCTGATTTCAGATCATATTCCTGCTGGAACATGTCTGGTTGTGTTCAGAAGCTTTTATTGGTGATTTTTCATAGTAAAAAGTGCAGCTATTTTCTGTTACAGTCATTCTCCACTTCACTGACTGCAGAGACGCTATGGTATGGAAGACCATGAAACACAGAGCAGCTTGAAGAGACAGGCGCTAATGGGGCATCTCAGACAGAGGGTGAATACAGGTGATCCAGAACAGACAGAATGAATAAAATGAAGTGTTTTTTTTTTGTTTTTTTACAATAAAGCATGTGAACCTTGAAAACAAGTATGAACTTGACAATAAGCATAAAAGGTCCTCTTTAACCTCCTCTGTCTTAATAAAAACTCAGCAAAAGAGAAATGGTTTGCAGACAATTATAAGATAGTGGTACAACAAATACATCTTTTGAATGAACTGTGTGAACTACTTGTATTGAGAGTTTTTTATCTCTTCAATAATGGAGAGCTATTATGACTGACTAGTGCTTGCATATTCCTGGCTGGGTCAAAGAGCCCTGCAAGTCTCCTAACAACCAAGTGCGTGTGAATGTATTTATGTATTTCTGTACAAACTGTACAGTCTGGACAGCAAGAAACCACATAAAATGCGTTTTCTGCAAATCTGATCCAAACCATATCTGATTCTAATTCGTTTTTTACAGATGCATCTCAGTCTTGAAGCTTTGGCCACTCAAATTATTTCAACATGTCAATGAAACGTCAAATCCCGAGTGACTGAAGTGCTGAGCAGAATCCATGCTTTTAGTAGCAGAGCGCTTTGGAGGACGACATGGAGAATAACAGTCCATGGATAGACACTGGAATAAATTGTTTGCTGGCACCTTGACAGTGGCTTCACAGCTTGATTGTTTGGAGGGAAAAATGGTGGACCAAATTCTCACGCTTCCATGTTGGTAAGCCGCAGTTCCAGTGTAGCTACATAGTAACTGACACCTGCTGTACATCATCACCACAGCGACCAATAAAGATATGTTGATGTCTGGACACACAAATCTGATGTGATCACTTCCAAATAACACTGTGGACAGCCGGTCTTACAGATCTGACGTGAGAAACAAATCTGATTTGCCAGCAGTCTGAGTGTAGCCATCATGCCCTACTGAAGCGTGTTTATAATCGACCCTTTCCTCTTCTACAGACATGTTCTGAGACAAGAGAACCATTTTGTTTTTGTAAATACAATTAAAACATAGTCTCAAAGCAAATTAAGACTATAAGGCTTATAATATGAATGCTACTGTTTACAAATGAAACTAAGTGCAGTCTTTCTGCTGCTGACATGACTGCTCTTAAGGAAGACATGACTGACTGATATCTGATTTTTAAACCGAATTGTCAACCCAGCATGTTGGTGAGTCTAACCAGTGCTCAAAAAAACACTGCATCAAAAGAGAAAAAACATATAAAAATGAAACAGGCATACCCTGGTGGCAGTGGTCTCTCCCAGGTTGTCGTTTTAGTGTTGTGGTCAACATAGTACACTCTTCCATGAGGCAACACCCTCTGCTCCCAGCTACACACAGAGACAGAGAGAGGGAGAAGAATTACGTTGCAATTCACACTTAATATTAGAAGCACCTATTTTTAAGCATTTCATAATTAATGTAATTACAGCAATGAAACTACTCCTCAGTACACAACTTAGGGAGTGTCCCTCACTAATACTCAGTGGGTAACAGTGTGTGACCAACAAAGACAGAGAGGAGCATTGATATCATGAGCCCAGAGGAAACATCAGCTCTCTAAATATGTCTCAATCACCTGCAATCATTTACTAACATGAGCTCTGAGTGCCAATGACTCCCTTGCAATTATTTACCAAATATATCACATTTATCTTTGTAACTATTTATTCTTGTCATTTGCTTTGCCACCAAACACTGGTGTATTTAATTTCGATACAGCTCATTTGACTTAAACAGAGTGTGAAAGACATTAAAAAACAGTTAAAGGAAAGCAACAACAAATCAGTGGAGGAATTTAAATCTACAGCTGTTTACAGCAACGTTTCTCCCATTAATCAATAAGCACATTCATAACTGCCACTGTAAATGCATAATTCAGTATTGCATTGTATCACAGTATTGTAATTACATTCTACAAAGTCTGCTGTCAGCAGTCAAATAGTTCACCACCTCCAGGAGAAAATATTTACACCACTGTGATTGAAACTGGATGTTAACACTTCTTAATATCTTACTCATTGGTTGATTTGTTCTGATGTTCAGAGTTAAATATGATGCTGGCCGCTATTTTGGAAATGCATCATTAAAAATCGATATAGAAGCACTATTAAGTGATTTACAGCTGCAAGCAGAAATATAGCAAGTAGGCTCGATCTTTGTTACTGTATGGAGTCGTGAGGAATACAAAGGAAACTGAAAGTTTAGTGAATTCTCATATTTCAGTGTCTTGTGTGGTTGATGTGTGTTTACAGTTACAGTGGTGAGAGAATCTCTTTACACTTTACATTTGTATAGCTAATGTACTTTTGGGAAGTAAATATGAAATATAACCGCACTGCTTTAACTAATAGACAAGATGTAAGATGTTCTTATGCACTTTATCTCTACATGCACTGATTCTCACCCTGCCGGGAGTGAGTCTGTGTTGGACTCTGTGGTGCTGTTGCTGGCCTGCTCGGTGCTGGAGGTGGCGTTGGGAGTGGGCTCCGCCGGCGTGGCCGGACCCAGGGCATCCTGACCTGGAGAAGGGCTACTGCTGCTGCTACTGGCAGCTGGGGATCGACCTGATGGAGAGGATGGAGGAGGTGTGTGACGGGCCACGCCCCCGCGACTCTCCAGCCCGTTAGACGTCAACTCAACTTTGTCTGTGAGAAGACATAGAGGGAAAGAAGGATGGGAGAGCAGAGATGGATAAAAAAATGACTTACTGTTGCAGTGTAAGAGAGATAGCTCATATCAAACCGGGACCTAAGAACCAGCTGATGTGGTGATTATTAATTTTTAATACTGCATTCATGAAGAGGCTCTGACATGTGGGGCGTCTAGCTGGCTGCTACACATTGTTACATTCTAGTCAGCTATAAAAAGGACAAACACTAAGCAAACAATTTGTTACAGAGGCCTCAGCTTTATAGGCTTAAAATGGATAGAAAATATATATAACTTTGCTTAAAAAGGTTGCCTGGATAAGCGTTAGACTGATTTCAATTTGTTCAGATAGGAGAGTGGGATATTATGCAGTATAACACAGATATAATAGATGGTTACGGCTATTCTGTAATTGATCTCTGTTATTATATTATGAGTTCTGGCTTCCGTTAGTAGTCTGAGTAGAACTGACTAATCACATTTGAACAGCAGGTAAACCGTCCATGTGAGGAGGCAGAACGCACTGGCTGAAATGCAATCCCTGAACTGACTGGCTATCGTCTGACATAGATTCAGGTTTACACTCGCTTTTTTTAAAATCTATCTGTGTGCAGTCCAGAGTATACTTTATGTTGTGAATGTCCGCCAGTCTGTGTGGATGCAGGCTATATAAGAGGGAGAGGGAGGACAGGTGACAGATTTTAACTTAAGTCTCAATGAGGACAGCATAAAGAGAGAACTCAGCTTTTTGAGAAGTTATCATTTAGGCAAAACTATTGTAGACTCTGACGTCACGTAATGTGGTTATTTTTTACTAAGCAGCGGTCAGAACATCTTTTTGTGCCCCTTTAAAGACACACAGAACATCTTGATAAATTACAACCAGCAGCCCCTATCCATTTTTACATCAGAAATCAGCTCTGACAAAAAGATCTGAGTCTAACATTAAAGTCTAAATCCTGTTGAAGTCGACACACACAGTGCGTCGACTTTCCTATACCTGCACTGCTTCCAGGGCTGAAGTGACTCTTGGAGGACCGATGGCGAGCAGACGAGCCCGCCCCAGAGATCTGCTCCTCATTCAGGTCCCCGTTTGTCAGTGAGCCCCCTCTGGAGCACCCTGGGGAGCTGCCCTGGGAACCTCCCACTGAGTGCCTGTTACTCCTGCCAAAAGAAATAGAAACAGAGAGAGACAGAGAGAAAATGGCAGATGAGGGGAAGAAGTTAAAGAAAAGGAGATGATGAGGAAAGGCAGAAGGGAGGAGGTGAGAAGAGACATCAACATTTGCACTTACTGCATGGGAAAAAAAATGTGTGTATGTTTTACTTGTTCTTTGACTGTCTTTCATATGCTCCTCCTGGAGATCGCCCCACAGCTTTGTTTTGACAACTTATGATTAGACCTATTGTTGTTCCTGACTCAGGGGAGCAGACCTGGCGCATGTGTGAGTGTGCACACGGACAAAACCAGCACACAAAAAACACACACAGAGGTGTTGGTGTCGGCTACTTTTGTTCTCTGAACAACCTCATATTTTCCTAACACTAAATATAACTTTGCTTTTCCGACAAGAACTTTTATACAGGGAAAGACATGTTGGCTTTCCCTCCCCAGGACTGAGGAATGCTGAGGCCAAGTTTGGATGGCCATCAACAGCAAACCGGATTAAGGGTTGCGCTCTGTTTATTCGCTACAATAAGGAGAAGCAGCAGCAGCAGCGGAAGGAAGCAACCATTTGACATTGACACTTGGCATGTGTGTGTGCGTATATCCTTCTGAATGCGTTCTTACGTGGGCACCGAGCTCTTCGTCATGGGAGAATGACAGAATTCACTTCTCCTCTACGTCTGTTCGTACACAACTGGATGGAGATGTTGACTGCTTCTCCATGACAGCGGCGGTTTGGGCTCTTGGCTGAACTGTGTTTAATGCCCCCTACAATGTTTAGAGGGAAATACCATCCGACCCCATGCACCCCCACCGCAAAGCTTTGAAATAAATGCAGACTGCTCCACTATTTATTATCCCACTACCATTCTAGCCGGTGAGAGCAGCGTCTGAAACCACATTCAGGGGGGAATAACATGCTGGCAATCTGCATAAGTGCTTCAGTCGACCATACTGGCAGAGGCCTCCTTCACTCGAACCTTTTCTTTTCTTTCATTTATTTTGATTACAATTATGCCTAGGGTTTATGTTTTCCACATAAGCACTCTGCAAACAGTGCTTTAGAAAGAGGTCATGCAAGTTTATTATTGTGCTATTATTCTTATTATTATACCACAACATCTGCAGAGATTCAAAACCAGCAGTGTAGTGAACACTGCTCAGATGCCCAACAACAACAACAAAGTTGATTTTCAGTGTGAGTGTGTGTGTGTGTGTGTGTGTGTGTGCGTGCGTGCGTGCGTGCGTGCGTCAGTGGTGGATGAAGTACCTGAAAGCCACATTTAAGTTAAAGTACAGATATCTTGCCAGAAAATGACTTTGGCAGAAGTTAATGTCACCTACTAGAATATTACTTCAGTAAAAGGCTTCATGTATTGACATATGATGTAATGAAGAAAAACGAGGTCTTCTTCACGACTTATAGGATTTAAAGAAAACCTCTGACTATTCAGGGCTGACACACTGCAGTGGAGCAGTTACCTGTCACAAATCTTTATTTCCTTGAATCATTACTCGCCCTTTCTACTGTGGGACGCCATTTTCTAATTCCATCATGAAGTCGGTCTCATCGTCGAGTGGAATGAAGTTGCTAGCATGTAGGCTCTGATCTGACACGCAGCCTGGGCTTGACTGGAAATCTATACTTAACTGTGGCTTTGAGAAACTTGTCCTTATGTGTTTAACCTATGATGTAACTTGCAAGCTAGGACCTCTGATTTGCCTTCTGATTTTATTTTGTAGTAACTAAGTAACAAAAATGCTCAGGACATAGAAATGTAATGGAGTAAAGGTGACAGAAATATTAAAACTCAAGTTAAGTACAGATTACCAAAAATACTAAAGTATTGCAATAAAGAATTATTACTTCATTATATTACACCACTGGTGTGTGTGTGTGTGTGTGTGTGTGTGTGTGTGTGTGTGTGTGTGTGTGCCCTGACCTGCTATGAGATTCAGCTGTACTGGGAGTTTCCTCACTCTGTGTCCTCCTCAGGTTGGGTCTGTCTGCCTGAAGTATCTCTGTAAAGACACATAACATCATCATTGCACAGACATGGATAACCAGCTTCAATCACAGCACACAGTACGTCAATCAAGGAGGAGAGAAAGAGAGCGAGGGATAGATTAAGAAAAAGCTACAAAGTGTTTGTTTGATCAAGATTGAGTCCAGTCCAACTTTCAAACATCCACACTCACATCAGCAAGCCCAGTTAACAGGATTTGCTCTCATATTTTTGTATGTAAAATAAGGCCTTTGGGGCCTAACCTATTACTGTTTATCTGTTTATTCTGAATAGGATATATAGTCATACACATGAGCCCACCACTGAACATACTAGTCAACAGAGATCCCAGTGTTTTCAAATATACCAAAGATGTCAGATTGAATTTTAGAGATATGTGCTTAAAAGAATTGAGAACACATCTACAAACCCCTATCAATATATAACATAAAAACATGAAGTATGTGACCCAAGTAGCATCACTTGGCAAAGGAAATGGACCAGTTTTTGTGCAGCTCCCTCTGGAGCCACAAAGGGCTCTATGCTACAAATGGTGGACTTCCCATTTTAAGTATTAACAGTTTGTTTTCTGATCACTGTTTAAAAGTAGCTGTTTTCCAGGAACCACCATCATTAAGAAAAGCTTTCATAGTGTGGGGCCCTTTGGTGCCAACCATGAACCACAACGTCCCTGGCTGTAGACCTCTGCAGCATGTCATTCCCCACCTCTCCCTACTCTCATTTCATGTCATCTCTCTACTGTAAACGTGGTAATAAAAAACATAATACAACAAAAACATAGACTTTTATGGCATGACAGAACAACAGCAGCTTGCCAATATCACTACTCAAATTAGCATTAAGTGTTTCATATATATATAAAAAAACAACTCCCGTCAGTGGATTCTAAAATTGTCGCAAAAGACTTGGTGTCTCTAGCTGCTACACTGGCTGAAACTTGAAAAGAATTTAACACTAAAGCTCACTCAGCAACAATTACTGTCACACTTTGAACATTATACTGGTCCTCTGCAAATGAGAAAGTTCTTATAGTGAGGCTCAGGCCACTTTGTGAAAAAAAATCCTGAATAATCAAATCCATACAGACCTGAAACATGTGGCATATGTACAGTTGGTGGTTTAATAGAGACCATTCAGCCTTGTATGGACTGTGTAGTCTGTGCTGGTGTGAGCGCTGGTGTGTGTGTGTGTGTGTGTGTGTGTGTGTGTGTGTGTGTGTAGTGGCATGCGGTCTTGGTGGTGTGAGGGAATGTGTGACTATATGCTCAGTCTCAACTGTGACTGAAAACCACAGCCTTATAACATGCTTTTCATTAACGCTCACTTTCTCCTTTACACACACAAACACAGCACCTTCCTATAAGACACTCACGCCGGAGGCATGACAGCCTCAAACAGTATCCATATTTACACACATATAAATCTTGCTATCTTAAGTAAAGCAAACAGGTAATCTCTCTCTCTTTCTCACTCTCACACTCTCTCTCTCACACACACACACACACACACACACACACAAAGAGTACCGTTTTATTGCTATGAAAGGGTTTCTTGTGAGCAGACCCAATGGACATACAGAAAAATAAACAGTGGTCTTGAGGAGAAACGATTGTGTCATAGCCTGCTCACTGAGTTCATCACCCCCTCCCTCTTAATGGCAAAGGTCTAATTACTGGTCTGGTGTGTGTCTGTGCACGTGTGTAAAATAGAATTTCCAGTTTGTAACCACCTTAGGACACAAAAACATCTCAACAACTAAACTTCACAAAAGATAACAGTAGGCACATTTCAGTTCAGCAGCTGCTATGGAAACTTTAGGTTACACGTGTAACCCTAGTTCTCCGAGTAGCATGAGTGAAACATCTGTAAATGAATGTTATAAAAGGGAACACCTGACATTTATACCGCAAGTAATCATTATTTTCGGTAGTTTTGGTTGATTAACTATTTGATGAATCAAGTCATCATTTTGCCATTAAGATGTTGAAAATGTAAGTGTCCAAACTATTTTGTTTGTCTGACTAACGGTCCAAAACCCAAAGATATTCAATTATATAAAAGAAGCAAACACTCACATTTGAGAAGCCAGAACCACAGAATGTTTAACCTGTTCTTTCTTAATGGACCAACTGTAGAAAATCCTCACATCATGTACATAAAATCAATCGATGCCTTAATTAATTAATTTTAGCCACCTAAAAAAGGCCCATCAGGGAAAAAAAAACAATATCAGATTCAGTGTATGCTATATTTAGAATATTTTCACAGTTTGAACTTGCTGCCATACAGCCATTTTCGACAAAGAAGTCAAGCTGTTATATCAAAGCCACCAGACTCTATTAACAAAAAACAGCCATTTATGGTGCATTCCATTTGCAATGGGAAGTCAGAATTTCAAAGTTCCCAGTCAGAAATCTCAAATGGAGCGCCCCCCTGATGTCGGATATCCAATTCAGAAAGTCGGGGGAACCTCACCAACCCCGACCTCGAAATCCAATATGGCTGCGTTGCGCATCAACAGTTGTGACAGCAGTAGTAATATTCTGTTTATTAGCACGTCTGTCTTAAATGTGTCTAATTAAAACAGTTATCCCCACAGTCCTGTCCATCTTTTATCTGTAGACATGGTGCTATAGTGTTTGTATGTGCAAAGGACAGCATAATACATTGTTATCAACTGGTAATGCTAACAATGGCTAACCTGGCTTGAACTGGTATGGCTAACAACATATTGGTTTTCCGATTTGTTGAACTGGAACATAATCAACTTGGGGAAGGTAGATTCCTGACTAATCTTAACTCTATGCTTTGTTGTGACCAATTTGTATGGCACAAGTAAGATACAGCATAACTCGCATACTACTTTCAAACTAAGCTACATTAAAACTCACATAATTGGTGCAACAGCCTGAATATGTGTTGCTGAGCACCTCCAGAGAGAAATCAGATTAGCAGAGCCTCAATAAACTTTGGTGTGGATTTTGACCTGAATTAGACATGTTTTTATACCATTAGACAATAACTACCGCCAAGTGGTTGTATGCCTCCAAGAACCAGGCGAGTTGCAGTCGCAGTTTTCATCCATGTTTGTCCAGACTTATATGGAGCCATGGAGCCATGACAGCAGACAATGCTTTAAATTTGGGTAATGCTCCAAAAAAGCGAAAAATTCTAAAACATGGATATTTCACACATCTTTAACCCAGCAGCAGAAAAGATCTATACAATCAGCACAGTTTCAATGTAGACATCCAAGATTAGTGTCACCAATTTAGTATTAGACCAAATGTCTCTCCCTCTGTTCCTGAGTTAGGACATTGAGCAATGGCCAGGAAAGTGTTTTTGCAGAACATTGTGATGTCACAATGAAGTTGACCTTTGACCTGTTGAATATAAAATGTTATCACTTCATCATTTATCCTATTAGATATGCATGTCGTCATAATTAGCTTATGAATTCTTGAAGACATGTTTTGTGAGGTCAGAGTGACTTTTGAACACCAAATTCTAATCAGTTCATCTTTCAGTCCATGTGGACGTTTGTGCCAAATTTGAAGAAATTACCTCAAGGTGTTCTTGAGTTAGCAGGAGAGCTTTATGGCCATAATGGATTATTTTAGGACTTTTGCATCAATGTGGTGAAATTACTTTTATTTTCTGGGTTAAAAATCTGTTATATTGGTCTCGGTATTGTAACCATAAACCATTTCTCAGTTGATTTTGTGGACATATACTATATCACAATATTTACATTTTGTGATATAAAATTACCTATACCATGATAGAGGACTGTATCAATTTCTCCCACCCGTAGTTTACAGCCAGTATGCTGCCGGTTTAAATAATGTTTAACAAGAAAATGAAAACGATGTTTTACCTTTTTCATTCAGCAGTATCACTGTCCTTGACAGTATTTCTGTGTTACAGTCAGCAAGTTACAACTCTTTGTACATTAACAGGCCTTATGTGCCAAAGTCTAGCACGATGTGTCCGCGATGATGAGGATTAGACTATCAACACAGACACACCAATGAATGAGTGTGTCTGTGCTGCAGTGTACATTTGGCCTCTGCTTCTGCGTGATGGGAAGTTGTGTGTAAGCATCTAACATTTACAAAGTGTTCCAATAGTCCCAGAGTTGAAATCTTTCTGCTCTGGCTTCTGTTTCTCCCCATCTTTCAATACAAGGGTTTGTTTATGAAGCCCGCTAGGAGTATGTGTGCGTGCATGTGTCAGAAAAGCTGCCAGGGGAAATGAGCAAAACTCCAAACTAACAGAGGTGCGTTCAGAGCGAGAACACAGAGCTCCTTAACACCACCAGAAGGCAACACACTTCCACCTTTATACATTTTATATATTCAGGCAGCCCACATATGCCTGCACACACACTGCAGAATGCAAAACACATGTACATACACACCCACAAACACACAATGAACACACAAGCTCAGAAACACACGCCTGCATCTGTACTCCTGAGACCATTAAACACACATGTACAGAGACAAGTGCCTCAACTTGAAACCCTGGTTGTAGAGGGCACACACTTCAGCCCTCTGTTCACCAACCTCTCCTCCCCCAAAAAACACACACGTAAACACACACACATGACCTCTGTCATCCCTGCCCTTGCAAACCAGGAGAGTAAACCCCCCCAGCTACCATGCACACCGCTTCGGGATCACAGGAGGCGATTGTACTACTGAGCTGCAAGCAATGAGGCTCAATTATGCAATTCTCAGAAACAAATTAGACAAAAGCACTCCTGATGTCTGTGATTATGTGTGTGTGTGTGTGTGTGTGTGTGTGTAGAATTTTTGTGCAGAGTTTTTTAACCATTGACCTGCACACATGTTTGCTTAGCTGCATTTTGGGTACATCCCATTTACTTTATTCATTCTCTTCTGTCACAGCCTTTTATTTACTCTTAAAGAAATAGTTCCTCTTTATTTTCTTTGCTGAAATTATCCATCAAGTGATAATCGTGCTACAATA